GCAGACCCACGAAGAAAACCAACGAGAAGCGCAAAGCGCCCAGAGCGCCGAATACTCATTGAATTGTGGTGGGGGCCTTTCAAAATTTGCCATGGTGCGCGACGTTCATTGACGCAGCGATCTACGCTTCCCTTCTGAACGCTGGCATCAGCACCCGGGCGGCGGAACGCCCCCCTTCAACGAACGTGAAATGTCCATATATATACATATATATATATATGTTAATCACAGGGATGCGCGCAGACACGGTGCGGCATCCATTTCGGCGCGGAGCGGAATGGTCAGTGTCCGAAGTCACGGCGTTTACGATTCATGCGGAGATGCTGGGAAAGGGTCTCAACAACCGGCGCCATGGGAATTGGGGGCGCCGAGCGGGGTGATCTGAGGCGCACTTCGACGGGCCATGCGCGGCCACGCTAACAGGGCCGATCTAGCAAATCATAAGAATGGGTAGGACAGGACGCGGCTTCGTATGAGACTAAGTCACAGCAGTCAACTCAGTTCAGAGCGCAATGGAGTCGGCGCCGCCCGCGGGTGGACCCGGCGGCAGCATCGACCAACTAGCGCGGAGAAGGAGAGAATGCAGCGCGAACGCGCTGATGTTTCTAGGCCCCAGCGGGCCGCTGCGGGGCTTGCGCGCGCGGCCCCAGACTGGAGAAAGCGAAGCGGAAAGGGTCGCGGAGGACGGGCCCGCGCGCGGCTGAATTGGACGCGATGGGCGAATGGAATTCAGACGAGGGCGCAGGGGCACCATCGCGAATGTTGTCTACGTCGTCGCAGAGGGCAAAAAGGGTTACCATTGGAATTGCAGGGGGCGCGAACGTGAAAGCTGGATGAGACGGCCAATGGCGCGCGAGGCGCGCGCTTCCATTGCGCGGCTAGCATCGGGGCCCCGCAAGGAGATGTACATGAACCACCACAGTGACATGGGCGGGGCGATGCGATCGGGACTAGCTCATCCCATCACTGACGGCGGAGACCTGGAAAAGAAGAGATGGATCAACTCCGTGAGCATCAGGGGCGCTCGAAGGTGGAGGGGCGCAAGTGCTGGAAAAGTGCATGAAAGGCACGAACTTGAACCATCTGTATCAGTTCTAGCAGAGGAGACGGCGACAATCCGGAGTACAGAGCAAGATGGGTGGCTCAGCAAGTAACGTGCAACTCGGACGAGAAAAAACACATTTGCGGCCGCGCAGCCATGGGAATCGCAAAACCTGCCACTCTCCATCGCATTGGCTGGTGGAGTTGGGCACAACAGAGGCGAGGAAGGATCATCTACTTGAGCTACTATTCGTCCTCATAGAGGCGCATCATTTGGATGTGCCAACGCAGACAGGGAAGATAGGTTTCTGCTGCATGGCAGCAGGAACCTTATATGGCCGGAAAGCGCGCTAAATTTATCAAGTCGATATTGCAGATTACTGTTGTATTGAAACTTGCCAGAAGCCGTGGTTCACGTCGCCGTGGGCATCGCCATGCGTGAGCGCGCAGGAGCAGACGTTCGTCGTTGACTGTTCATGACAAAGACTTCGCCTTGGGGGCAAGTCGATCGAGATGTCTGACATAATTTCAGCGAGATCGTTGCGCGAGACTTGGGGTTGAAGGATAAAGGTAGGCGCGGGTTGCCAGGGGGGGGGGGGGGGGGGCTTGCCCGGGGACGAGGCTGACGGAGAGGCTCTAGCAGCGGATGACGCTGGGAAGTATTTGGCGTTTGTGACGCGAGGTAATTACCTAGCGCAAGACAGGTCGGACATTGAGCATGCGCTCGGATAGCAAGCTAGGCGCGCAGCATCACCCGCGGTAGGGCCGTATAAAGCACTTACCAAGCTCGGGGCAGATTTGGAGGGTCACAACAGGACCAGGCACCCGTACACATATCAATACATGCCTTCATAGTTCACAGAGTGAAATGTCCGAAGCATGCTGGATGTGAGAAGACGTTATATATTCACGCGCATACAATTCACAAAACCGTGGTGGAGTAGCGATGTGGGTAACCATGATGAAGTCATGGAGTTCGGCCCAATCAGTCATCGCATGGCCGCCGGGAGAGGCAGTGTATAGCGGAATGACGAAAGGGGCATATGCGGCCTTTGGCCGTCAGTCAGTGCTGCTTAAGTTTGGGAGCTAGGGCGTAGCGTGCACGGTTTGCGAATGTAGGCTCGGTGCGTCTTTTCAGAGCCCCGAATCATCAGGGGTAACTCGGGTCAGGGCTAACTCGGGTTCGTTTTTCGGGAATCCGAACCCGACTTACCCCGGGCCCGAGTTACCCCGGATAATTCGGGCGTCCAGAGCCCCGAATCATCAAGGGTAACTCGGGTCAGGGGTAACTCGGGTTCCTTTTTCGGGAAGCCAAACCCGAGTTACCCCGGGCCCGTGTTACCCCGGATAACTCGGGCGCCCAATCTTCGGGGGGCCAGAGCGATACGACAGCCGCGATTACTTTCGCCAGCAGGTGGGAGTTAGGCGCGCCGGGGCAGGTCCAGCGGCTGTCAGATAAATTGAAAGTGGATGCGTCATGGTCACAGTTGCTAGCACTGGTGGCAACTTGGCAGACGCATTGAGGATGCGCATGACGGGAGCAAGTCGACGTCGCGAGGAAGTGATACATAAGTTGGCCCCCCGCAGCCGACTGCTACACGGGCCGCGGCGATCTCGAGATAAGTCACCGCGACAGACTTTGCGATGGGATTCGCAGACATAACGGCCGACAAGCTCAAGGCGATCGCGCAGCTGTCCATCGGCGGCGAGGAGATGGACAATACCGATCCAGGACACATTGCCGAGGGAGACATCGCTGGCCGCGACGATAACATGGGGTGCGTTGCGCGACTCGGTAACCGGGTACATAGTAGCGCCATCAGTCAAAACAATCGCATCGATGAAGATCAGGTTATGGCGAACGTCCGCGCATCCCAGAAAATGGGCAACATAGACGATGTCGCCGGATATGCGCTTGGTGATTGCGAGTCGAGGTTCGACGCGCTCCAGAGAATCCAAATCGCCATGGCGGTCCGTGGCCCGGAGCGGCTCGGGCACGACCGCGGTTCTACGACAGCGAACGACGAGGCCGCGGGCGCGAGCGACGAGCTGCTCGGGGGCGAGGCGACGCGCGGCGCTGAGGGGGCCGCCATAAGACGCGGGCTCGCCAACAACAGCAGCCGCGGAGCGAGATGCGCCAATGAGGCGAGGCAACATTGAGCAATGAACAGGGGCCGCGAGCAATGAGCTGGGCTCGCGCGCTCAACTCGACCCGGGCCTTGAAAACGTGCCTGGGCTCCTCGGGGCCAGTCGCCGCGCCGCTAGTCGCCGCGCCGTTGGCGACCTGGGCGGCAGGCCGCGGGGGGGCGCAAGCGAAGGCCCCCCATGGCGCGCCACCCTTCGCGGCAGCGGCGCCGCGCCCACCAGGTGCCTCGAGCGCGTCTGGCTCCGCGAACTCTCCTTGCGCTCGTGCGCCGAAGAGCGTTCGCGGCCTCGCCGATCAAATCCGCCGCCGCTAATGTTGCGCAGCGGGGGGCATGGGGTTGCGCTCGCCTACGGGGGTGCCGGGCCGGGCGCCGCGGGGCGAGGGCGGCGCGACAGCGGGTGGGGCACGGGCGATGGCATAACCGAGAAGGACGCGCCCATGGGCCGGAGTCAGAATCGCCGTCGCCGCCCTCAGAGACGCCTCTCGGGCCTCCTTCACCGCGCCGCTCGCCGAACCCAGGTGGCCGAGTGGCTCGTTTGCCTGCCCGCGAGATAGCTTGCCCTGACTTCTCGGCGAAGCCTATCGGGCGCCCCGTCGAGGCGCGGGGCGACCTGGCCCTGCCGCCCAATCGCCCTAACCGCGACCCCGCGCGCCGTGGACCGCGGGCCGCCGCCGCGCGCCGCGACCAGGAGGCAGCGGGGCCATCGCATCAATGGCTGGGTCAATCGAAGCATGTAACCTGGACTGCGCGCTGAGCAATGTCGCATCGTCGCCGGCGAAGATCGATGGCCCCACTGGAGCGGCACAACGCGTTGACGGACCACCGCAGGGGCGAGCATTATAACTGGACGCGGCTGGCGACGGCCAGTCAAGCCTGCTTCCCTGATGGCTGGGGTGGTTGCCCAGGCCCCGAAGTGCCCGGCGGGGCCCCCTGTCTGGCGCGCGACTGGAACAGTCGCGACGCAATCCAGGTCTACATCGACAGCGCGCCCGAGTCCAGGAGCGAGAGTGCATTGACATGATCTCGACTTGGCCCTGCATCACGCGGCCCGCCCCGCATCCGCGGCAGTCGCCTGGAAATAGAAATTTGGCGACATGCTCAGATCCGTTCGGGTGATCACTGCCTGCGAGGCCATTAGCCAGTCTTTGGTGGTCAACCCACCCTCGTGATCGGCGCGCGAGCAGAAGCTGGAACATCGTGACTTGAGGCGGGGCCGCGCCCCTCATGAGACACCCCGATTTTACCGACCGGGAAGCGAAGGGCCTACGGGATGAACCTAGTCCGTCTGCGAGAGACCTTTGGCGCGCCGCGATGAAGCCATGGGCGCGCAATGCGACAGCGATGAGAAATGTGAAGAGTGGGGCGATGACCGCTCCGCGGAGCCTGACGCGCGAACTCGCACGTTAACCCGGAAGTGCAACTGCGTGGAGGAGTTCGCGCGCATCGACGCGGCCAAGGGTGAACGAAATGGCAAGAGGTCGAGGTCGACCTCCATCGCAAGGAGGCAATAAGTGACAGGTAGTTATCGAACAGATGATTGCCTCTTCCCCAAGGTTTATCGAATTTCAACCAAGGCCATCTGGAGCGAATGCTCTTGGCAAGTCTGGTTTGGCACGTGATAATACATCCCAGGCCCCGCCATGCTTCTAGGCACCTTCTGTACCGGTCTGTCACTTACCGCATACATAAATGTATTGCAATGGCGTGCCATAGATTCTTTGTTGCGTGTGGGAAGCGGGAGAGGGCCGCTGACACGTGTGCTCAAGCCTTTCTTCCAGCGAGCTGGGGGCACCTGTCCAGGCAGAATCGCGGATGGTTGGCAGACCCTTCGTGCGGATCCTGGGCGTAGCTACCAACCTGCTGGCGGCCTGGATATCGCGAGCGCCGCCGTGTCCTGCGGCGCCTGCTTGTCCCTCTTCGCCGGCGTGCCCGTCGGTGTCGAGCCCCAGCCTCTCGAGCGCCGACCACGACGTGTACGAGGAGCGGTACGGTCAGGGGAACCCAGACATAGTCGCCGTGGTCTTCAGCCCGACGCGCCAGGCGCTGCAGGGTGGGGACCCGACGCTGCCGTGCTGGTTCAGGCGTGAGCCGAACGCGAGGGAGACGGTCGCTATCCAGGACGCTCTCGTGCAGGTAGCCGACCAGCTGTACTTGGACCGCGAGCGCGCTGCTGGCAGGCCGCGCACGCGTCCCGGCGGAGGCTCGTACCTGGAGTTCGACTTCTCCGCAGCCGCCCCTGGACCAGGCGTTCCTGGCGCAGGCCCCGCCGCTCTCGCGCCCGCGGCGGGAGCCGCCGCCAGAGCAGCGCCTGCCGCGCCTCTGGTGAGCGTGGCCGGGGCCGGCGCCGTCGCCGCCCCTGCTGCAGGTCCCCTGGCGGCCGCCGCCGTGCCGGCGGCAGGCGCCCCAGCGGGCGCCGCCGGCGCAGCGCCGCCGGCCGCGGCAGGGGTGGTTGGGCCGCCCGCTGAGCTGGCCCCAGTGTGGGTGCTCATCGGGAGCACAGGTGGTGGCAGTCGTGGCGATGTTGTCCAGCTCAACGGGACCGAGCGGATCGAAGGTGACATCGGCCTCCTGAAGCTGAACGCAGGCTGGGCTGCCATCCGTCGGATCTCGATGGACCCATCGGTGTACAGATGCGCGGGGAGCAGGGCGGACATCAGGCTGGTGGACGTACCACCTCGACCCGACGGCTCCAGGCAGCGACTGGCTTGGCGTGAGGCTGTGCCGATGATGGTGGAGAATCCCATCCCGGGGTGGCCGCTCGACGGACCTCGGACCTTGCTCTGGTGCGCGCAATTCATCGACAAGAGGCGGAACGGCCCCGTGGAGCACTACAACAGCTTCTTTGCCTTCTATCATCTCACGATGGAGGACTTCGAGGTCGGTCATTATGCGATCATAATGAAGATGATCAGACATCTCGGGTGCTGGGATCAGGTGAATGTCCCCGACTTGGTCGGGGCTGAGCTGGCCACTCGCCAGGCACAGCTGCACGAGTACATCTACTCCATGGAGTTCGTGGCGCAGCAGTCGAAGGGCTCCAAGGACGGCGACGAGGGCGACGGCAAGAAGAGGGGCCGAGGTCGGGGAGGAGGGCTCCACCGATTCGGCATCGTGGACGAGGCGGCGGTGTTCACAGGGGCGGTCAAAGAGGATGGCCGCTCCAGGATATGCCCGCTGCTGCTGGAGCAAGTCTCCAAACAGGTGGAGCGCGACGCAGGGATCCTGAAGCAGATCAGGAAAGCCCGTGAAGAGCGTCGCGCTCTGTCATCATGAGCGACGCGGACGGCTCTCGGGTACCCCTCGCCCGAGAGTCAGCCAGGCCGAGAGAGGGGGCGCCCGTGGGCCTCGCGGGCGCAGCAGATCTACCTGTACATGAGGCTTCCGACTCCAGCGCCGACCTTCGCCAACGTGATCTCTTTCCTTTACCTTACTTTGGCGCTGGAACTTCTTCTCCTACTACGTCCTCCCCGCCTTCAAGGTCAGTGCGCAGGCGCCTTGAGAAGCGGTCACACGTTCACGGCATGGTCGAGGAGATGACCGACGCGCTGAACGACCTGTGGGGCTGCCCGCCCGTGGCGCGCCGTCAAGCGCCCGCTGGCATGCCGGTGCCTGCCGCTGGCCACGCCCTCGCCCTCTCGGAGCTCCGCCAAGCCGCTGTGAGGTTTGGCCCGTGCCCAGAGGGCTTGGACGGTCCAGGAGCCCTCGAGGAGCTCCGGATATCTCAATCATACGAGGGTGACGCCACGTTGGTTGCCCCGGTGAGTTTCGACCTCGTCGACTCCATCTCCCTGCCTCCTGCCGGCAGCCAGCCCGCCGCCCTGGAGGCTATCGACGAGATGGCAGGCCAGAACATTGCTCGCCGGCTGAAAGAGTTACTCTTGCCCCAACAGCTGGGGATGGAGCGCATCAAGGAAGTGGGTCCGAGACGGCTCTACACGGACCCTGCCCTTCGCAACCCGCGCCTCTATAGAATGGTGGTGCGGCGGCTTATGAGCGCCGGGCTGGTGGACTTCAGCAGCTCGGCGGAGTGTTACGTTGGCATGTTTTTCGTGCGCAAGAAGAACGGGTCGCTGCGGATGATCCTCGACGGGAGGCACGCCTCGCTCAGGTTTGCGCCCGCAGACTCCGTGGAGCTGGCGACGGGCTCGGCGTTCGCCCAGATCTCGGTCGACGGCGACGAGCCCATCAGCATCGGGGGGGTCGACATCTGCGACGCGTTCTACCAGATCGAGCTCCCACAGTGGCTGCGCCGCTACTTCGGGCTGCCCAAGGTGAGGGCTGGCGACCTCGGGCTGGTGAACCTGTCCGACGGCACGCCCGTGAGACCCTCGGCCTGGGTGGTACCGTGCTTTCGGTGCCCGCCGATGGGCTGGAGCATCAGCCTATGGATATGCCAGAGCCTGAACGAGGCGGTGACCGCCCGTGCGCTTCCTGGCCATTTTGGCCGTCGACTTGTGGACCGTCGGCCTGCGCCTGACCTGCAGCAGGGAATGGCGCACACGGTCTACGTCGACAACTTCATCGCCCTGTCCCACAGGCTGCGCGAGGTGCGTGATGCAGCTACTGCAGTACAGGGGGAGCTGACTGCTTCAGACCTTCCCTCGCACCCCGTGGAGGCATCAGTCGGCGGGGACACGCTGGGCTGGCACTTTGACGAGGACAAGCCCGTGATCGGCCTCAGCGTTCGACTACGCTGGCGGCTCCGCCTCGGCATCGGCGAGCTGCTGGAGCAAGGCTGGTGCAGCGGTCACACCATGATGAAGGTGGTATCGCACTTCACTTCGAGGGCGCTAATTCGTCGAGAGCTGCTGAGCTGCCTAGGGGCCGCGTACGGCTTCATGGGCGACGGCGGCCGCGAGAGGCGGCGGCTGACGCCGGCAGTAAGACGGGAACTGGCTTGGTGCCGCGCACTGCTGCCTTTGTGTTTTCGAGACGCCGGGCGGCCCTTGTCGCCTGTCGTGTCCTGCGTGGACGCCTCGTGGTGGGGCGCTGGTGTGACAGAGAAGACCATCACCTCAGACCAGGCTCGTCGTTTGTCTATCTTCAACGAACGGTGGAGGTTCAGTCGGGATGGCGAGCAACAGGTTGCCCCTCGCGACAAGGCCTTAGCCTCGGAGAGCAAGCAAGCTCAGCGTATCACCTCGTCATGCTTCAAGCAAGCCTCGTCGGAGCCCTACCGCGATCCAGCAGTCGTAGCAGCAGCCATGGAGCAGCAGGTCCCGTTCCGAGTCGAGCCGAAGCCGGAGCAGGGGGAGGAAATCACGTTCGAGGAGGTGCCCGAGGAGGTCTGGGCGGAAGGATGGCGTCGGGTTCTATCTACACCGTGGACCAGGAGGGAGGCTCAGGTGGTGCTGGAGGGGAGAGCCTTAGTCTTGTGTCTGAAACATCGATTGCGAGCCACTCGAAACTTCAACACCACGCACATCATCTTGAATGACTCCATGGCCCCAGTGTTGGCCCTTCTCAAGGGCAGATCATCGTCGCCCCCGCTTTTGAGAATCTGTCGTCAGGCATGTGCTCTTCTGTTGGCCTCTGGTTCATCTGCTATCTGGCGTTGGGTCCCATCAGAACATAACAGCGCAGATCCAGCGTCTCGTGACCAGGCTGGTGACACCCCCGAGGCCGTGCGGATCAAGACATCGAAGCTCGACGCGTCCTGCCCGCCCGCCCAGGCGCTGGGCCTCGGGGAGGATGACGGCGGCAAAGCTGGTGTCGGTCCTCGACGACAGGGCGGCCCCTGCCGCGCCGGCGATGCGGGCTCGCAGGAGGCCGACTGCGGCTGCAAGTGCTGTGGGCGCTCGCCAGCTGCAGGGCAGGCCGCAAGCAGCGCCGGAGACTGCAGCGCGCCCAGCCGAGGGCGACCGCTGGGCGGGCCGTCAGCGGGGGGAGGCGAGCCTCTTTCCTTTCCTCCCGGCTGCGGCCCCCCGCCAGGGCTTGACCCTCCTGGAGGAGTTCTTGGACGGGGGCAAGAGCAGCGCCGTGAGGATGCTGATGGCAGCTTTTGCCTTCGTGCGTCCGACCCTCGGGCGGCGGCAGTGGCGCCAGCTGTGGGCGGCACGGGCTGCCAAGACCTGGTCATGCCTGGCGCCGCCGCGGCCGCGGCTGACGCTCTCACGGCTCGTGGTGTGCCTCCTCGTGGTGACGTTGTGCTGCGGGGGCCTGGAGGAGTACGCTTGGCCCACCGCGCCCACGGTCGACCTGTACCCGAGGCCGCGCGAGGCGCTGGATTTCGTGCCGTCGCAGCTCATCCCGCCAAGGCTCACCGCTGCCGAGGCGCTGCGCCAGTGGTGCATGGTCCTCCAGCCGTCCGACATGCAGACCCCATCCATGATAGACGTGCTCGACGAGACCCTGCGGGCGGGCCTCACCCGCTCCCCGAGGGTGCCACGACCCGAGCAGGAGCCGCACCACCGGACGCCCGGTGGCCACCGCCTTTTGCCGGTGGCCCAGGCGCAGTGGAGCGGCCACGTCATGACCGTCTTGGCCGGGCTCGGCCTGCAGGTCTGGAGCTACCTGATGCACGGGCACAATGGCGGATGCCACGAGCTGTTCGCGGCGGCGCGGCCTCTGCGGGACATCCACATGCTCTCCAGGTGGTCGACCGACGCCGCGCTTCAATGCTACGCCGAGGGGAGGCAGGTGCAGGAGCATCTTCGCGGGCTGCCGCGCGCCCTGCCGCTAAGTGCCGAGCAGGCGCTCCGCGGGCCTGGCGCCACCCCGTCGGCGAGCTGGCATCGTGGGTGAGACATTCCAGGTCCGGCGTCTTCCTGGAGGTCTTCAGCGGCTCGGGCCGGATGGCGGCAGCCTGGCGCCTGCGTTTTCATTCGCAGCATGCCGCTTTCGAGCTGGACATCCGCCACGACGCCGACAGCGACCTCCTCCTCAGGCGGATCAGGCAGCAGGTTCGAGGCTGGGTGCGGAGTCGGCTCATCGTCGCGATCTGGATTGCGACGCCCTGCCAGTCCATGAGCCGCGCCCGCAACCGCCCCAACGGGCCACCACCCTTGCGGACGGCTTTGTTTCCGCTGGGGCTGCCAGGCCTGTCGCCAGGAGATCAGCTCAAGGTCGAGAGAGGAAACGCACTTGCCACTTTCAGCTTCTCTCTTTTCTTGCTTGCCCGCAGTTTAAACATACCAGTAGTGATTGAGAATCCCAGCACATCCTGGTTGTGGCAGCTTCCAGGCGCGCGCAGTCTCATTCGAATTCGTAACACTCGTATTGTGGACTTTGATTTCTGTGCGTTCTCGACCCTTTGGCGCAAACGCACTCGGCTGCTTTACTGCCATCTCAACCTCGACCCGCTCATCCCCTATAAATGCTCGGGTCGTGGGATCTGCAGTTTTAGCCGCCGCCCCCATCAGGTCCTCGAGGGCAAAGATGCCTCGGGCATTTTCTGGACGCACATCGCGGAACCGTACCCAAAAGATTTTTGCAGGCTGGTAGTTAAGTGTTTCCAACAGGCTCTGCGAAACCATTTCGTTCTGAGCCTGGACAGGTTTGTAGTGGCCTAAGGCCAGGGTTTTTAAAATTCGCTGGTGCTCGAGTTTTCAAGGTTTCGGACTGTGATTGTCTCGGGCCACGGTTTCCTTGGTCGAGGGGCCTCGCCCGTCCAGTCAACGTTTCACGGAGCTCCGGGAAGAGTCATCACACAGAGTTGCGGATGCAAAACAAGTCTGGCCCTCGGGAGTCTCCCCAGCTTACACAGATTGCAATGGCGTGCCATAGATTCTTTGTTGCGTGTGGGAAGCGGGAGAGGGCCGCTGACACGTGTGCTCAAGCCTCCCGCCCACGCTGCGCTCCCATCCCATTTTCAGCTCGAGCAGTGTCCTGTGGACTGTGATTGTCTCGGGCCACGGTTTCCTTGGTCGAGGGGCCTCGCCCGTCCAGTCAACGTTTCACGGAGCTCCGGGAAGAGTCATCACACAGAGTTGCGGATGCAAAACAAGTCTGGCCCTCGGGAGTCTCCCCAGCTTACACAGAAGTTTATACATGTCAATCGCGTGTTGTGCCTATGCGATGTATGCTTCGACCTGGGCGTTGCCCGCTTCCCGTGACCACTTGTTCTCCGACAAATTTATATACAGCCGGGCGTCGCCCTCCCGACCCTGAGTACCACGTCGATGGAGGGTGTTTCAGTACAGGTTCCCATGTTACCGTGCCGATGTCAGCGCTTGGCTCAAGAGTTATAACCGCAGTGAGGCGACGTGTACGTTTTCAGCGCTAGCCGCTTACTGTAAGCTCGTGCTAAATCTCCGTCCGCGGGGGAGGACAAGGAGGACGTGGAGGAGATTGAGGAAAAGGACGAGGAGCAGGAGGAGGAGGAAAAGGAGGAGGAAAAGGAAAAGGACGACGGCGACCGCGACGGCGGCAACGGCGGCGGCGACGACGGCGACGATTACGACGACGACGACGACCCCACAACCTTCTGGGTGACAATCTTGGACGATGACGACTACGGCGGCGGCAATGACGATGGCGACGACTCCCGTCAGGCATCGGTCTCTGGATCTCCCCATTAGCCGCGGCGGCGAGAAGCTTCCAGGCCGCCCAGGAGGTGAAAGACGCCCTGACGCCATTCACCCTCGCCGCGGTTACCCTCAAAGCCCGGCCCGCGGTAGCGACGGCGACGACGACGAGGGCGAAATCGACGACGACGACGGCGACGACGACCACGACGAGGACGACGACGACGACGATAACGACGACGACGACGACAACACCGACGACAGCGAAGACGACGAACACGACGACGCCGACGACAGCGACGACGAAGACGACCACGATGACCACGATGGCGACGATGACGACGCCGACAACGACGCGAAAGCGACGAAGACGACGATGGCAATGATGAGGACGAGGACGACCACGACCACGACCACGATCGCGACAACGACGACGACGACCACGACGACGACGACGACGGGGACGACGATGACTGCGAAAACGGCGGCGACGCGACGACGACGATGATGGCGACGATGACAACGACGACGACGACGACGATGGCGACGACGATTGCGATGATGCGACGCCAGCAACGACGACGATGGCGACGATGACGACGACGACGTCAAAGACGACGACGATGATAACGACGATGGCGATGATGCCGACGACGACGACGGCGAATACGATTCCGACTCAGACGACGGCGAATACGACGCCGATGACGACGACGACAGCGACGATGGCGACGACGACGCCGACGACGACAGCCACGACGACGGCAACGGTGATGACGACGGAAACGGTGGCTAGGAATACGTCGACGACGTCGACGAGGACGACGACGACGACGCGACGACGACGACGAGGACGACCACGGTGGCGATGATGACGACGACGAGGACGAGGACGACGACGACGACGACGACGACGAATGCGACGGCGACGACGACGACGAAGGCGACGATGTCGTTGACGACTCCCATGACGACGACGACGACGAAGACGACGACGACGCGAACACGACGACAACAGCGCAACCACGACGACGACGACGATGACGACGACGAGGGTGACGACGCCGATGACGACGATGGTGGTGACGACGACGACGACGACGACGACGGAGACGACTACGACGGTGAATTCGACGGCGACGACGACGACGAAGGCGACGATGTCGTTGACGACGACGATGGCGAAGACGACATCCATGACGACCATGACGACGCGAACGCGAAGACACCACGACCACGACGACGACGACGCTGACGACGACGACGGCGAAAACGACGACGGCGACGGAGACGACGACGACGACTACGACGACAGCGACGATGGCGACCATGATGAAAACCACGACGACGATTGCGGCAACGACGGCGACAACGGCGACGACCAGGACGATTGAAGCGGCGACCTAGGACGACAACCGCGACGACGACGGCGACGATGACTCTGTCGGGCCCAGGCCTGCTCAAACCCAGCCCCCAGACCCCTCTCGGAGTCCGTCCTGGCTCGGTTGTCGGGCTGTGCCGTGGTCTTGGCGACGAGAGCCTCGTTGTCCTCGTCGTCGTGGTCTCCTGTTCTCCGAAGCGGCGGCGGCAACGACGACGGCGAAGACCACGGCGATGACGACGACGCTGGCGGCGACGACGACGGCGGCAGCGACGGCGACGGCTTTGAGGACGACGACGACTGGAGCGGCGACTACCACGACGACGACGAAGACGTCGATGACGAAGACGACTACGACGACGACGTCAGCGACGATGCCGCCGTCGGGCCCAACCCTGCTCGAACCTGGCCCCCAGACCCCTCGCGGAGACCGTCCTGGCCCGCTTCTCGGGTTGCGCCTGGCCTCGGCGAAGACGATCCCGTTGTCTTCGTCGTCGTTTTCTTCGTCGTTAGCGAAAACGATCCTCCGAAGAGGCGGCGGTAAGGACGACGACGAAGACCCCGACGATGACGACGGCCGCGGTGACGCGGTGGTGGCGACGGCGACGGTGGCGAAGACGACGACGACGGAAGCAGCGATTAGGACGACGATGACGACGACGACGCGGACGACGACGACGCCCACGGCGACGATGCTGGCGACGACGACGTCGGCGGGGGCGGCGGCGGTGACGACGGCGGCGGCGGCGGTGGGCGCTAAGGCGAAGATGAGCAAGGGCAGCGCCGGCTCGATCCGAGCGCCTCCTGAGGAGCCCCGCAGCTCGGTCTCCTCGTCGTCGTTGGTTGCCGGCGTCTCGTCTCGTCATCGTCGTCGACCTCCTCCTTACCGGGGGGGTCGTCGTCGTCGCCGTCGTCGTCGTCGTCGACGTCGAGAATCGGTTCGGCCCTGGGGGCCCCTCGCGTCCGGCCCAGGGGCCGTCGGAAACCGACTTGGGATGAGAAACCTGCCAGGAATCACCCTGGAAGGGGTTGTCGTCGCCGTCGCCGCCGCCGTCGCCCTTTGCCTCTCTCCTTTTCCGCTCCGCCTCCCCGCGTGCCGAAGCCCCTCGAGACCCGTACGAGGGTGCAGCTCAGGGCTCGGCGGACGCAGCGGGGCGCCACTGAGAGGCTGAGAGGTGCCCAGAGGCTCGGAGAGCAGCCCCCCGGCTCGTGAGCGGCCAGGGCAGCAGGAGGAGGAGGAGGAGGAGGAGGAGGAGGAGGCTGCGCACCGCTGGCCTGATCTGGGTAGTTTTAGACGGGGCCCCGCCTCCGGGGCTCGAGGCCCAGACATGCCTGCGTGGCGAACAAAAATCACGACGATGGACGATAGTTTTTTCTAGCTGTTTTCGTCCCTCTGAGGCCCTAGCCGGGCCCAGGGGCAGTCAGAAAACGACTCGGGATGAAAAACCGGCCTTGGGGACAGGTTCGGAACTTCTGGGGGCCCCGTGCAGAAAAATAAGGCATTGGATGTCTAGGGAAGTGACATCTCTTCCTGGGTTCAGGCTGTCGCAAACAGGGCGTGGATTAGCGACGGGTCCCGTTCTCATGGGAAATCGCGGATTTCCGCTGCCGAGCGAGGCGGCACCGGCCGTATTTTGGGGAGGGCACCTCCCCCGATCCATGGATTTGGCGACCGCGCACCAAGTCCATGGATCGCTAATCCATGTTTGCGCGCCCCCGATAGGTGTGAGCCGGCGGAGGGCCGGCGGAGGCAAGAGGGGGCCGGCTTTGCAGGTGGAAGGTCGGCGGAAGCAAACGGGGCGGCTCCGCCGGCGGAATAAAAAGAGGGTTCCCAGGGGATGTCAGTTTTTCTTGACCCAGGGTTCCCAGGGCGAGCCATATGGGAAGGCTGTCGTGCAGCAGCGAGTCGCTGAAACGCATTCGGCCCCAAAGACAGGTCAGGCACGGCCCTCCCCTCCTCCCCCTTTTGCTTCTCCTCCTCGCTTATCCTGCTCCCCTTCCTCCTCCTTTTTCTTGGTTCTCTTCCTCGTCCTCTTTTCCTTTTCCTCCTACCCCTCTCACACCTTCTCCTGCTTGTAGCCGTCCTGGCTCAGAGAGGCGGGGAGGTGGTGTCTTCCCACCCCTGTCAGTTTTGAGCTTACTGCCACCAACGCTTCAAAAAAGCTGGGTGACAGCGGGCCAGGTGGCTCGGTTGTCGCTCCCATCTCTCACCAGACGGCGGCCCCGCGATGGCTTGGCAGAATTAGCCTCGCACTGGTCAGTCTTCTGTTGGTCGTGGCAAGTCTAATTCGAGGAGGTGGTTTTGCTGCCAGTGCAAGTGCAAAACTAATTTCACCCACTTGCCCACTTCAGCTACTGCAAGTACTGCGGTAGCCAGAGGAACGCCCCCGCCCCTGATGGAGGAGACGGCTGCCCTGGACCGTGGGACCCTGGACCAGACCGTGCTGATGCGCGCCCTGGAGCACTGGCTCCTTCTGGTTCATAAGTGCAGCCGCCATCGTCATCCTCAGGTGGGGCGTCCACGGAGGAGCTGGAGCAACTCGTCATCTTGCCCAAAAGCCCAGCGATTCGACGATGCTGGCCCAGGCGCAGGCGCAGCTGGCGAAGCTGGAGCGCTCATCTTCAGCCGCAACGAAGGTCAGTGTGGACGCTGCTTCCAAGGAAATGAAGCGCTTGGAGAAGAGTATGGCCAAGGATCCGGAAATGGTGTACGAATTGGAGCAGCGCTTGGCTTTGCGGCGCGCAGACCTCGATGGTACCTTGGGGGAACTGGACCTGCACGAGGCCGAGTAAAAGCAGGCAGTGGCTGAGTTGCACATGTCCGTGTCGCCTCAGGCTCATATCGACGTGGCGCCGACGCTCCGTCCCACCGACATCCTGGAGAGCAAATTCTCGGCGCTGCAGGTGGACGACGGTGTCATGTTCGGCTCGTGTGGCCACCAGGACCTCTCCGACCCATATCAGCAGCAGGCCGAGAAACGAAACAAACACTTGTCTGAGCAGGTCCAGATCCTGAAAAACGGCCTGTTCGAAGATGTTCAAGTCAGGGCGTTAGAGATGCGAAGTCTACACAAGGAACAGCAGAAGAGGCTTGAGGGCAAGAACAGGACAATGAGGCGTTGGCCACAGGGAACGACTCCCAGGCCGCCCCCGCCACCCATGTGACACCGCCTGCTGCTAGCGTTGCCGCTGGAGGCGTGCGGGAGCAGGCCCGTCAGTAGGAGTGCACCTAAGACGCCTGGAGGACCGCCCCCCAAGAAGGCAGCAGCACCAGCACCGAAGAAGCATACTTAGTCCAGCCAGGCAGTCGCTTTCTCACACTTATCCCAAACTCCCGGCGTCCTGCCCAGGCTTGGATGCCCAACGGAACCCGTCCGAGCATCGCGAGCACGATGGTTGTGATTCGGAGTTGATCAGTTGGGAGATAGCGACTGCCATTTGTACCGGTTTGAGTTCTTTCGGTTCGCAAGTTTCTGGGGAGAGCCTCAGCCCGCGCTGCGGAGAGCGATAGACGGGTGGAAAGCTTCTGGTGCGGGGGCTCTGACACGGGACTACCTCGGACCTCACTTCCCCGACGTTTGGCATGTTATTGTTTCTCGCAGGGCCGTCGGAGCCCTCATTCGCCCTCCTGGCCAGGCGAGTGTCTATTGCATGTGCCTCTACCTCAGGATGGCGCTGGCCTCGACGAGGTCAATCACCATTCCTCGGCGCGCACTGCGTCGCGCGCCAGGAGCCTCACTGCGACTTCTGTCCTTGGCGCGGACTTTAACCTGGAGCCTCCAATCCTCCCGGCGTTAGCCTTCCGTGCTAAGCTTGGCGCGGGCACCGCGTTCCCCGACGGCGTGGAAGGCGCTTGCCGTGGCGCTGCTGATGTCAAGATGCATGAGTAGTTGCTGGTTAGCCCTCGTCCTGCGATGTCATGCGGTGGCGCCCAGCAAGGTCGAAGTTATAGGCGATTTGGAGTGAGCTACCTACCCGCGACCCCGTGGCCGTATCCTTCCACTCGTGGGCTCTCGCCTTCCTTCGGCCCCCGCCCTTCCTCGCCCCCGGCCCGTTGGGCCCAGCCCCGAGCCCCCCCCCCCCCCCCGATTGGGAGGTCGCGGCGAGCGTGGCCCTGGGGGCGTCGAGACTGGCTGGCGCGTCGTTTGCCGCGGCCCTCAGAACAGGGCAGCACTCGGCGGGGGGGGCCGAGCAAAGGGGGGCCGCGATCGGCGGGGCGCGCGGCCTCGGAACAACTTCGAGTCAGGAGCTAGATGCACCCGCAGGTTTGTTAGAGGGGCCCCCGGCCAGGCGCCGTCCATTACTCTCTGTGCGAGCGGCGAGGTTGTTTCAGATATTTGCCCTTTCCTTTCTTCTGTTTTTTAACGCTTGCGAAGTTCTGGCTTGCCGAGGGCGGCCAGTGCCCGCGGCCGCCAGGGGCCAAGTTTGAACCTCTTGAGCCGCTCCCTGAGCCCGCGCCAGATTAGCTGCTGAGAGTGGTTCCCCACTCGCGCGGCCCCGTTGGTTGATGGGTTTCATGTCAGTCACCTTCAGCACCTGTCGGACCAGGCTCTGGTTTCGCTCGCCCGCGCGATCGGCGCCCGCGAGAAGTCCGGCGTTCTCCCGGCCATGACGCAGCAATCGCGTTCATTACGTTCGTGATACCTGGCGGGGGGCATAGGCCCGTCGGGCTGTTCGTCTCCCCGCGCCGCCTCGGGGCTCGGTCCCGCAGTTGTTGCGCCGGGTTGTGGGGGGGCGCCAATGGTCGCAAGTTCATGGCCGCGGGGCCCCCGTCTTCAAGCGTGGGCACTGTTTGGCGCCAAGCGTTCTGAGCGGGTGGTCCATTGGGTCCAAGTTGTGGCCCAGCTGTGCTCTGTTGGATTTCTTGAATTTCTATGAGTCGGATGGTCTGGACCTCCTGCCAGCGTTGCCGCCGCCGGGGTTTCCCCGCGCAGGCGGCCCGCGCCTGCGACGTCGCGCGCAGCTCGACTCGGCACGCGGCGACGCGCGGCGGCGTCGACGGGCTCAATTTCGGGCGGCGCGACATCGCTGCCGGTCGCGGCTTTGCCACCGCGCCGACCAGGGCGTTTTCTGCGTCGGCCTCGGGCGGGCTCAGGCTGCCGAGGCCCGTCTCGCTGCGAGTTCAAATGGGTGATTTTAGCCCTCTCGCGCAGCGGCGCTGGGAGCGCGGTCGCCAGCGACATGGTCGAAGCTTCCCGCGGCCCCCAGGACATTGTCGACCGTGGTCTTGGCTGCGCCATTGCGGCGTCGAAGGCGGATGCGGCGGCTTCTCGCCCGACCGCGGCTAGGGCCGCGCGCGCAGGAGCGGCTCGGAGGCGGCCCTCGCTATTCAGCCGTCAATGTAGGTATCTTCGACGCAGCCAGCAGTGCTCGTCGAGTAGCCGGCGAGGGGGTCGAGTAGCCAGCGGGGCCCGTCGAGTAGCCGGGGGAGGGGCTAGCAAGGCGCAGTTCTGCAAAAAGGTTGATCGTTTGGCCCTCCACAAAGGGTCCTATCGGCACGCCGAGAAGGTCATCGGTTCGGGGGCGCTGCCCAGCAGGGCGCGCAGCTGCGAGGCGCGCGGCACCTCGGACCATGCGATTTCTTCGATGCGGAGGCCCCTCGGGGAGTTCCCGCAGCCCGGCGCGGGACGGCGTTCTCTGACAGCTGCGCTGCTGTTCGCCGCCGACCCCGTTTGATGTGAGATGGGCTGCGGAGGGGTGGGCCAGCCGCGCTGGGCCCACCAGTTTTGGCGCGCCCCTCGCCGTCCGCGGGGGGGGCGTGGGAGGTCGGGTTCGCGGGCCCCCCCCCCGCGGAGGAACGCCGGGGGCCTTGCGGGGGCCCTCGGGCTGTCTGCGGAGCGACTGGGGCGGGCGATGGCGGGGCTCAGAGCGCTCTTTGATAATGCGGACGCGGGGGCGCCTCTCGTTCTCATCCCCCCACCCCTCCCTGCTCGCGCGTCTGTCGAGGTCCGCGGCCCCCATAGGGGCCGCGAGCGTTCTGACGGTGGGCCCCCGGGCCTAAAATGCCGCGCGCGCGGGCTCGCCGCCCGGCCACAGTTCCAGTCTAAGGAGATCGCCCTTTGCGACAGGGGGGCCCTCAGAGGACCGGCGCGCCGAGCTCCCTGCGCACATTGCCATGCCCAGGAATTGCGCAGCCAGCCGTAGGACCCGAGCTCTGGGGTTCCGTCAGCCCGACGTCGCCTTTCCCCCCCCCCTTATTTCTTTTCGTCTCGTGGTTTTTGCCCCTGTTGCGCGGCCGTGGCGCTCTTTTGCGGGCCTCCACGGCGACAGCTGCGCAGGGGCAGCCCCCGTGGGTCTCTTGGGCACGGGGGCGGGTCTGGAAAGCCAGTCCGCCCTGGCTGCTGCTCATCCCCACCCCCTCCTTTCGTGGGGTGGATGCTCGGTGTTGCCGCGGCACGGTTTGCAACTGCACCTGGCCCCTGCGCCGCGTCAAGCGTCGGCGTCAGTTGCTGTCGCTATGGCGCCGCTTCTCCGTTCGCAACGCTGTCCAGTGAAGCTCAGCTCGCTATGACGAGCTCTCCCCGTCAGGTTCCACGCGCGTTCCTCGCGAGGGGGCCTGCTCGTGCCGCCGCCTCCGTCATCAGCAGGATCTTTCAGGGGGGTGCAAAAAAAAAACCATGCCCAGGAATTCGGGCATGAGCTGCCCGACCTCTTGTGCCCCGTGTGCGGCCTGGGGGGCGACGCCATTTCCCTGTGCGTCTGTCGCTGCAGTCGCGGGTCTATCCGAGAGCTTCGGGAACGTCTTCTTCGCGGCTATGAGTTCCAGCCTGGCGAGAGACGCACTTTGTCGGGGGCGGACAAGGTGCTGCGCGCCCTCGGCTTGTTCGAGCATCCGGGCGATTTCTTCCCGCCGCCTAGCATTGCAAAGCCGAGCTGCCAGCATCGCAGCGACCCCGAGCGCAAGGATTATTGGGTTTTGGGGAACACGTTCATGGCCAGGTCGCGTTTGCGTTCGGTGATTCAGGAATTGTCGCGCACGGGCTGGAGTGATATGTCGGTGTTTCACTTTGCGCGGGAGCTCGGCCATGCCCACGCCCCCCATCGCTCTCCCCATCCCTGAGACGGCTCAAGCTGGATAATTTGATGCCTGCTTTGGTGCCTGCCAGAATGCTGCTGATCCTCCTCCCGCGAGATATGGTGACGATCGGAATGTGGTAGAGTGTTGGGCCAAACCTAGGTCCGAGCATCTCTCTTGCGAGCGCGTCCCTGCTGGAATGTTCGTTGGGACTTCCGGCAGTCGGATGGGGCTCAGATTTCGGGAGATCAGGTTGGGCGATCTGTCGGCGATGCATCGCCGTTTGCAGCTCGCTGCTTCGACCCCCTCCTCGACATCTGGCCAGGATGGGCCCAAGAAGATGCCTGGTGACCAACATTGAAAGGATTGCGGGCAGGAGAAGGAGGAGGTCGAGGAAAAGGAGGAGGAGGAGGAGGAGGAGGAGGAGTCCTGTGAGGCTGGGCCCAGCCTCGCCGACCATTCTTGAGAAGCCCAGGGGGGCGATGGGTGGACCCTCGACGGAGGCCTGGCCCCGAGCAGGCCGATTGGCCCGACGGGCGCGCCGGGGTTCCCAGGGAGGCGCGCCGGCGGGCGGCGCAGGCGTCTCCTCCCTGGCCAGCCCCTGCGACCCTGGCTCTGCAGTGTTTTCGCGACGGGCGTCCTCGCCCAGTTTCGGGCCCTGGGACCCTCACAGATCGATCCAGCTCCAAGGATGCCGCGGAACGGCAGGGTCCGGGGCTCCGGTGGTGATTTGTTGCGATGTTGCATTTTTTATCAACGTCGGATCACAGGCCGGGTATGGCCAGGACCCCAGGTAAGGGGACCCGGTTAGTGGTAGGGCCCTGGAGCCTTTGAATTGGCCAGAATCACTAAATCAGGTTTGCCATAGTTGGCGTTTTTTCGGGTGACGGCAGGTCCGGTTAGTGGAAATGGGACGGGGGGGCGCCCGTGGTACAGATCACTAAAACAGGTTCCATTAAACCCAGTTCTGCCAACGCCCGAAAAGGGGCTTGCGATCTTGCGGAGGCCACCAGGGCCGAGGCTGATCCTGCGCCTTCCCCCCCCCGCCAGCTGCATCAGTGGAGGCGTGCTGGTTCGCTTTGGCAGCGCAGCCAGTGTTTGCGAGTTTTCAAGCAGTGACGAAGCGTCCTGGTTCCCTTATAGCCCTACCAAACATTGTTCTAAGAACCGTTTGTGGTTTCCACGAAATGTTCTTAGAACATGTATGGTTGATAGTGATTTGTTTTAACACACCGGGTTTATGTTCTAAGAACCGCGTTTTTTCTTAGAACATTTTTGGGTTCTAAGAACATCTCGTGATAGGACTATAGGAATGCCGGGGCGGTCGAACACTGCTCAAAGTTCGTGGGGTGGGGGGGTACGTGGGGTGGGGGGGGGCCGCGTAATAGTTCGAGTTGCACTGCGAAGCATCGCCTGGGTTTCGACGCGCTACAGCCTCTCGTGGTCGGACCAGGCCATCATCTGTGTATGCCTCCATTGCAAAGCGTTCCCGACGGGCAACTACGTCGGTTACTTCAGCCAGAAGTATAGTGGTAAGCCTGCCAAGCCTTGAGCGCCATGTATTGGAGTCCGGTCACCGCTGGCAGGCACTCCAAGCCAAATTCGATTCGGCTGGATGCTGAGGCCAACAGCGTGCTCCGCCTGTTTGATTAAGCGGCCGTCGTCGGCACGAGTCTCCTGCACTCGCTTTTCTTGCGCTTCGGGGGCGTGTCTTCCACGTCGGCACGCTGGTGTGTGTGTGTGTGCGTCTGCCAGCGTTTCTTTCAGTGCCGTGCTCGTCGGCTGCTCGGCCCATCCCAGAGGCCGAGAGGACTACGAGTTCAGCTCGTGGCAGAGCAGCGCAGTGTGAAAACGGGAGGCCTCCGGAGGCGGAAAAACATTGCACATTCAAACCCTCGATCCCCAATCGATTGATCCAGTTGCCTGCGGCAAGTCCCGCCACCTTGCCAGTCCAGCATGTTGGGTGGCGACCGTTCGATGGGGCACGAGAGGTCGTCAAGCGTGACACTTCGGGCTTCTTGAAGGTTGTGGGTGCCTTTGGAGGGGGTCGTCGGGGCCTTTGGGGGTTTCTTGGCAGCGCCTCGGGGCCTCTTCGGGGCTCTTAGGGCCTCTTATGGCCGTCTGAGGGCGCTCTTGGGCCGTATGGGCGCTTTCAGCATCCATCTGGGGGGCTCTTTGGGTCGATTTGGGGCTCTTTGGGGGACCTTGAGGGCCGTCCGAGCGCCAACTTGGGCCGACTTGGTGTCCTCGTGGGCCGCATTTGGGCCATCTTGGCGCACTTTTGGGGCCCTCTTGGTGCCCTCCGGGACCGTTATGCGGCCATCTTGGGGGCTTCTGGGGCTGTCTTGAGCTGAAGAAAGCTCGAACCGGCGAGAAAGCGACAATCCTTCAAACCCCTTTGGCAAATCCATGATTAGCCCGCTTCGGGCTTTGCTGGAGGCTCTATTGGATCCCTGTCGGGCCGTCTTGGAGGCCACCTAGGCCGTCTCGAGGTCATTCTGAGCCATCGCAGGCCGTGATGGAGGCCCCTCATCTTGGCAGCCTTGGTGGCCCGCCAGGTCCGTACTTGAGGCCATCCTGGGCGTCTCGGACGTCGTGGAAAGCGCCAGGGAGGGAGGAGGAGGAGGAGGAGGAGGAGGAGGCGTCCTGGCCGCCCAGGGAGCCCCAGGATTCGGGGCGGTGCACGCAGGTGGGGCGCGGCGAGAGATGGCCGGGCCGGGGGTCGGCCCCGTGAGAAGACTGCGCAGAAGCCCTGCCGGGCAGCACTTGGCACGCTTCCACGCCTCCACGTGCGAAGGCACGGTGGCGGATCCCGGATGCTCGATCACTCGATCCTCCTCTCTTCGCCTCCAGTACCGCCCCGCACGGGCCTCGCTGCCCCATTCACTGTTCCCTCCCCCTCCGCCGTGCGCCGTCTGCCTTCGGCCCTCGTCCCTGCCGTCGTTGACGACATCTGACGTATTGTCCTGTTTTGCAGTGCCGATGTTCTTCTTTGGTGTCGGTTTTCGGGAGCCCACTGCTCTGGCCCTGGAGGATGCTATGGAGGACGAGGAATGGGAAAGACGTTGGAGCGACGATGGAGACACATGGGAGGGGGAGGGGGTTGGGCGCGGACTTCAGGAAGAGCCGCCCGTGCTTGACGACAAAGAGGACGCACCTGTGATCATGCCCATGAGGACCAATCGCGGCGACGAGGGGCTTGGTGACAAGTCCAGCTTGGCGAAGTCGCCGCTGGAACCGCCCCGCTACTTGAAGTGGCTGGCCTTGCTGCGGGCAAGGTGTAGGGTCCTTTGAGGGATGCGGAATGGGGAAGGAGGATGGCCAGCTGGATTCTATAGGGGTCGACATGGTGTGTGAGGATAAAAACGATTATGAGAAGGGCAGGAGGATTATGAGCACAATAACAAGCAAAGCTTTGAGCGGGCTTTGTTTCTAGCGGTCAGACTCGGCGCTTAGGGCGAGGAGGGGTCAGTAGTAATATCAGGAGGGAAACGAACACACAGACACAATTAACCGGCGACTGTCAGGAGAAGATTGGAAAATATGCGAAGTGGGGGGGAAGACCAAACCCCAGAAAATGTAGAACATACGGGGGATCCTGGGATTTATGTGTACTTGGTTGTGTGTCCCTGAGTCCCTTCATATTAGTAGTGGTGGTGGTGGTGGTGGTGGTGGTGGTGGTGGTGGTGGTGGTGGTGGTGGTAGTAGTAGTAGTAGTAGTAGTAGTAGTAAATGGTAGTAGTAGTAGTAGTAGTAGTAGTAGTAGTAGTAGTAGTAGTAGTAAGTTTTAGTAGTAGTATAGTAGAGTAGTAGTAGTAGTAGTAGTAGTAGTAGAGTAGTAGTAGTCGGAGTCGGAGTAGAGTAGGAGTAGGAGTAGGAGTTGCAGTTAGTCGTAGTCGTAGTCATAGTCGTTATTAGTTAGTAGTAGTAGTAGTAGTAGTAGTCGTAGTAGTGTCGTAGTAGTAGTTAGTAGTAGTAGTAGTAGTAGTAGTAGTAGTAGTAGTAGTAGTAGTAGTAGTAGTAGTAGTAGTAGTAGTAGTAGTGTAGTAGCAGTAGTGTGGTAGTAGTAGTAGTAGTAGTAGTCGTCGTCGTCGTCGTCGTCGTCGTCGTCGTCGTCGTCGTCGTCGTGTCAGTAGTAGTAGTAGTAGTAGTAGTAGTAGTAGTAGTAGTAGTAGTAGTAGGTAGTAGTAGTAGTAGTAGTAGTAGTAGAGTTAGTAGTAGTAGTAGTAGTAGTAGTAGTGATAGTGTAGTAGTAGTAGTAGTAGTAGTAGTAGTAGTAGTAGTAGTAGCAGTAGTAGTAGTAGTAGTAGTAGTAGTAGTAGTAGTAGTGGTAGTAGTAGTAGTAGTAGTAGTAGTAGTACAAAGCAGTAGCCGCAGCCGTAGCAGTAGCAGTCCCAGTAGGAGTAGCAGTATCAGTAGCAGTAGTAGTAGTAGTAGTAGTAGTGGTAGTAGTAGTAGTAGTAGTAGTAGTAGTAGTAGTAGTAGTAGTAGCAGTAGTAGTAGTAGTGGTAGTCGTCGTCGTGCTAGCCGTGGGCGTAGTTGTAGTATTATTAGTAATATTTGCTGCGTCAGCAGTAACAGACGTAGTAATAGTACAGCAGTGGCAGTCGTAATCTCCGTCCGATTAGCCGTGTCAGCAGGAGTCGTAGTCGTGACAGGAGGAGTGTGCGGAACGGATGAGGAGTTGCTGGCCCTGCTCCGGGCAAGGTGCAGAGTCCTCTGCAACGACTGGCGCTTTTCTGTCCTCACGACCACCCTCACCCTGTACGGGCTCTTCGGTGGCGATACTCAGCCGCGAGCGATCGCGCAACCTTCCAGGGATCCGGGTACGGCCAGCGTCGTGATCAGACAGTGAGCCGCCTTGCCGTGCTCATGGCGCTGATGCTGTTCCTCCATCCCCCAATCCCTGCGGGCGGGACCCTGCGCAAGTGCGGCCACACTTCATCGGACAGGGCACTCGTCTTTGGGTTCCAACGGCGGGGCTCCGCGCAGCTGCGGCCGCACCCAACCACCCAGGGCGACGGCACCGTGGGACCCTACAACATGGGTGGGATCAGTTGCACTGAGGCCACCTCACGTCGCCCAGGGCAGTGGCCGATGATCTCCATGGGCGACACGCTGCCGCGAGCTACGGCTGGACCCCACCGCACATACGCACCCAAGTCTGTACACCACAGAATCCCTTTGTGCAAGGCCTGTCTGGGTAATGGTGCGCAGCTGTGCCGCCGGTGCGTGCCCCTCGGAGCTCTCTTGTTCCCCGCTTGCCACAGGGTAGCCATCGAAATCCTGCGGCACCCTGCGGAGCGTGAGATCGGCTGGTAATCTATGTCACGCGCTCGCATCCTACGTGACTGCGGCCGACAGAATTGTTCTGCCGCTGTGCGGGGATGTGCACGTAATACGTAGGCTGCAGCACTCGTCGATGCCAATGGCACGGGGGCTTCCGAGGCGACGACACGCGCCGCGCCTTCACGAGCAAACACTCCGACACCGTGTTCGACGTGCTCACCACGCTCGCGCTGACTGTCTTCACCGTGGAGATCGTCGCGTCCTCGCTCGGGCAGGATGGCTACTTCCTGGGCTTCTTCTTCTGGCTCGACGTCGGACATCGGGAGGAGGACGAGGAGGCGGTGGCGTCAGTGGTGGCCGAGGAGAAGGGGGGAGAAGGAGGGGCGGAGGAGAGGGGGGGGAGAGCAGGAGCAGGAGCAGGAGGGCACCTTGTCGGGTGCCGGGGCTGCGGATCAGCAGGATGGGGGCGGGGCAGAGGGAGGTGACGTCGGCGTGCACCTGGCGGCTCCGCGAGGCCCGGCACGGCGACGCCGGGGCCCGTGCGACGCGCGGGCGAAGGTTCCCGCGACGCGCCTCCACGCCGGGAGGCGCCCCTCTCGGGAGGCGCGAGCGGACCCGTCACCGAGCCTGGCCAGTGCAGTGCTTGGCCAATAGGCCCAGGATTCGAAGGAGGCAAGCTGCACAAGCAGGCGTCAACTCTCGGAGGGCCGCGCGGATTCCGTGGAGCTGCGCCGGGCCCCGCCCCAGGGCGGAGCCTCCCGCGTCGGCCCTGGCGCCACGAAGGCCGCGCGGCCTGTCGAAAGCGTATCTTGAAGGCCAAGACGCCGAAAGAGAGACCGCTTCGGGCTCAGGAGGGCTCTGGTTTTCGGGCCGCTCCGGAGGTCTGGGTCGTACAACCTGTCCGAGGCCGAGACGTGCCGTGGCCAGGAAAGCCTGTTCGTTCCCGGCAGCACGACAGCTGTGTGCAGCTCTTCTTCGTCCAAGGATGGGCCTGGCCAGGGTCGTGGAGGTGGTCGGTGAACGCCTGCTGGCGGCCTCGGCGCCCCTCTTGGGGCGGGAGGCTCGACATTCGACGGAGAAGCCCCACGTGCCGCCTCGCTTGTCCCGGGCAGGCCGGCGGAAGGGGGGCGAGGAGGGGAGAGGCAGGCAGACGAGGGGAGAAAAGCAGCCGGCGGGAGGGGACGAGGAGGTGGTCGGTGAACGCCGCAGCGAGCCCTCCAGCCCGTGGGCGCCCTGGCCCGAGCCTCCTCCCCGGCCGCGGGCCGCGCCGATCGCGCCGGGCGCTGCGCGCGGCCCACCGCCCCCGGAGCCGGGCGCGGTGGCCTGGAGGGCGCCGGCTGCGCACCTCCTGCAGTCAGAGACTCCGGGCAGGGTCCGGGTCGAGACAGATGCCGATACCTCTGGGCCTCCTACTTGGACGCCCGAAATGGGTGCGGAAAGAATGGGGACAATGCCCAACAGCAGTTCCTGTTCATTCTGAGCAGGACTCGCTGTCGGTGTCGCCGCGGCCTGTGTTCATTTGAGACAGAAGGCCGCCTGCCCAACAGCGGCAGCTGTTCGTTTGGGACAACATTTGTTGTTGGGCATTGTACCCATTCTTTCCGTGCCCATTTCGGGCGTCCAAATCCGAGGTGGGGTCGGAGGATCGCACCGCATCGGCGATGCGGCTCGATGGGGAGCCCGACTTTCTCCACGCGGGCGTCGCCGATGCGCCGCCGATGCATCGCCGGTGCGGCGCGATCCTCCGACCCATCTACTCGGGCCCCATCTATAGGAGGCCTCTAAAAATACCACGGCTCGTCCCGGAGGGCCCTCGTCGCCACGGCTGGATTCTCCCCTGAAGTTATTGTCAGGAGGCACCCCGGGAGAGGTCCGCGGAGCAGCAGTACCGGTACCTCTTTGTACCTCCCTGTAGGGGGGGAAGGGCTCGGGGGGGGGCATCCAGACACCCAGCTGTCCACAGTCCACGCGCATCATAAGGACGCGCGTCCTTCCCAAGGGTACCCTTGCTGCCTTGCCTCCTCGGTCCATCCTTGGCCCCTTTCGTTCCTGGAGGCCATCTTGGGTCGTCTTGGAGGCCTCTTGGGGGCCTCTTGGGCCGTCTTGTGCCATCTTCGAGCCATCCTGGTCCGTCTTGATGGCCTCCTGGCCCGTCTGACGCTGTCGGAAGCCGTCTTGAGGGCCTCTCTGGGCCGACTTGGAGCCTTCTTGGGTTGGCCGCGCTCCGCCCGAGAAGCTTCGAGATGGGCGCCCAAGGGCCACGTCCTTCTACGATCCATCTCCCATTCCCATGGCTTCTCTCATACCTCTCGTCTTGCTTGCCATCAAGGGATTAGTTGTGGGATTCCTCGCTACGTCGCCGACGTTATCCTAAGAGTAGGGTTCTCAGCTTATTACCTCATGGTCAAGCCCTGCACCCTTACTTTTCACTTTGTGATGGGCGCCCAAGGCCTTTGCGCATCCTCGTCGCGCGTCCTTGCGATGTGCGGGCTGCCTGCCTGCTCTTCGCCGAGGTGGGGCCTGGGCGACCCCCCCCCTCCCTGCCCGGGGGCGTGCGGCGGTCACGCCACCCCAGGGGGCGAATCGCCGATCTGTCCGCGACGGATCGCCGAGTCCAGGTCGATGCCTCCCCCCCCCTCCTCCTCCACTTTCGTCCGCCCGAGAAGTTTGCATACTATATCCATAAGCCCTGGGGGGTGGGCGAAGGTCTTGGTCGTGGGCGTGGTCTACGAAACTCCCTCCCGGGGGCGCAGTTGTCTGTATGCACGTGGCCCCGCGCGGTGGAATCTGACTCGGGCGGGGCGGGTGCGGCATACAAAAAAAACTTGAGGATTTCGCTCCCCCTCAGCGCTGGTTTCGGTACGGGCCCGTAGTGCCTCGCGTCAGGTCCTTCCGTGGACCTTCCTCTGGCGTTCCTTGCGCACCCGGGCGCAGCCGAGGCCCACGAGGGGCGCTTCCCCCCCCCCACACCCTGTTTCGCTCCCCCTCAACGCTGGCGATCGGCAGGGGCCCACAGTTCCTTGCGTCAGGTCCTTCCGTGGATCTTCCTCTCGCGTGCCTCGTGCCCCTGGGCGCAGCCGGGGCTTAAGAGGTACAGGGCTCCTGGTCGAGGGGGCGCCTTTGTGACAGCACTCTCGCTGTGCACACCTGCGCCGGTCCAGGCCAGGCCGATCTTGGGCCCAGGAGCGGGGCGATGGATTGGCGGCACGCAGAAAGGGAGGGGCGGGGGCGAGAGGGGGAGCTTCAGAGGAAGCAGGTGGCTTCTCGGCAGGGATCAGGGATCGGTGGCTTCCGCGGGGGCTGCTCGGAAGCAGGAGGCCTGTTCGGGGAGCTCCCTGCCTGGTATGACACCCCCCATCGCCCCTTTATCCCCCCTCTTGCGTTCCATCAGTCTGTGTGTGTGTGGTGTGTGTGTGTGTGTGTGTGCGTGAGTGTGGTGTGTGGTGTGTGTGTGTGTGTGTGAGGAGTGTGTGTGTGTGAGAGAGAGGAGAGTGTGTGTGTGATAGGGGGTGGGGGGGGTGCTGTGTGTGTGTGTGTGTGTGTGTGGGGGCTGTGTGTGTGCGTGTGTACGTGTGTGTGTGTGTGTGTGTGTTGGTCTGTGTGTGTTTGTGTTTGTGTTTGTGTTTGTGTTTGTGTTTGTGTTTGTGTGTGTGTGTGCGGCTGTGCATGTGGGGGTGGACTGTGTGTGCGTGTATGTATGTGTGTGTCGCACACCCAGAGATCCGATGTTCCGATGTTCCCTATACCATGTCCCAGAAGTCTGAGCCGTTTTTTTCTTTTAGATTCGGGCAAGTGTATTTGCATGGCGTTCGCCCCCCCCCCTCCCAACCCCCTCGCCCCTCTTCAGATGAACACTGGCGTGCAAATGGCTTTTGACTTGCGTGGTTTCCGCACGCGCATATCGTTTGCGGCTTACTTCAGGTTCAAGCCCCCCCCCGTCCATGCAAGTAAATTTTCCGGAATCTACAAAAACAGGCTCTCCCGTCCCTTCCCCCAGAGCAGGCTTTTCATCCAGAGACGTCGTTTGACGGTTCCGGAGCCCGGCGAGGGCCTCCAGAGGCAGAGGAAGGCGAAGGCGCTCCGTCCCGAGGTCTCCAATGCGTTGGGCATCTGGGCACAGCGACCTCTCGATGGCCTGGCCTCAGGCTGGTTGCAGGCGTGCGCGGCTGGCGCCCTCCTGCGGGGGAGGGAGTGCGATGCCCGAGGGCGGGGGCGGCGCGGGGAGCGGCTGCGACGACGCGCCGCTGCCGGGCCTCGTGCTCGGGGGGCCTCGGCCGCCACAGCAGCATCATGGGCAACGCTCGGGGGGGATCTGCCCAGGGGGGAATGTATCGTGCGCCAGGGGGGGACAGGCGTAGGGGGCACGGCTTTTTCCGACATGCATAAATTCATTCATACATTAATTATGTATTCAAAATTCTATATTTTTGAAAATCCCATGTGTTTAAAACTGCCCTGTAGGGGGCACGGTTTTCTCCGAGTTCAGGTCAGAGGTGGTCGGGCGTTCTCTGTTCTCGGCGGCGCTTCAGCCTTCGGGGTGCGTTCCAACAGCTGCGCCTCGCCGAGGGCGCTCTGGGGGTACCCGGATCGTTTCAAATTCAGGAGGGAAAGAAACACAACACAATGAATCGTCGATTCCCCAGAAAATATGCGAAAATATGGGAAGTGGGGGGGAGACAAACACCCAGAAAATAGGAGAAAACATGGGGAATCTGGTTATCTGTGTGTGTATTTATTTGTGTGCCCCAGGGCCTCTTCACAAATGGCCGCCCGAGGCCCGAGGCCCGGCAACCGCCAATGGGGATGCGCTCTCAGGGGGGAAGGCATCCGGCCTGCCCGCCCACGCCTCGCCGACGGAGGCACGACGGCCCGCCCTGCCCAGGGACGCGCGGTCTCGCCATGGGGGGCCTGCCGCCGGTCTGCGTGCGCACCGCGTGCTGCCGGTTTCGGCTCCGTGCTTTTCCCTCCCTGGGCCAGTCTTCCCCCCCCCCAGCGTTGCCCCTCGCAGCAGCCGCAGCGGCCGTCGCAGAAGTCGCTGCCCGCCCTGCTGAGGACGTTCGAGGCCGAGGTGGGCTGGCCGCTGCTTTCGCGAGGAGGACCCCCACGGTGCTCGCGTCCGCATCGGAGGTTCTCGGAGGTTCTTCCAGCCTCGAGATGCTTTGCAGCAGCTGCGCTTCGCGGAGGGTCTTCCTGGAGTTTCCGGATCGTCCCGGATTGCCGCCAGCGGCCCGAGTTTTGAGGTCCAACCCTCGCCCCCACTTCGCGTCGCGAAAAAGTGACGACGGACGGCTCTTGATGGTTTGTAGCATGCAGGGCCCTCTCGCCGGGCCCCGGGACCACCATGAACGGCTCAGGCTGTGAGCCCGGTTCCGCGGCAGCGGTCTAGCTTCCTGGGGGTCCGCGATGCCAAAAGCTCACGACGTCGGAGGTATGGGGAGGACATGAAGAACAATGAAGAGGAGGACGATGATGACGAGGAGTGGGGACGGAGGGAGAGGAGGAGGGATGGAGGGGGGCGGCATCAGACGGGGAGACGGGAGGAGGTAGGAGGACGGCAAGGGGGGAGGAGCGACGAAGGTGACGGTGGTGATAGTGATGGTAATGGTGATGGTGGGGGTGAGTGTGAGGGTCATGACAGTGAGAATGACAAGGAGGAAGCGGAGGAGTAGGCTCCCGTCTTCCTCCTCCCACGCCCTTTTTCGCCTCCCTTCTCCTTATGCTGCTGCACCTGCTCCTCCTCCTCCTCCTCCTCCTCCTGATCTTTGCTCGTTCACCTTCTTTGAAGAAGGAGTGGGGAGGGCGAGAGAGGAGGGGGAGGAGGAGGAGGAGGAGGAGGAGGAGGAGGAGGAGGAAGAGGAGGAGGAGGAGGAGTGAAGAGGAGGAGAAGAGGATTGGAGGAACAGGAGGAAGAGCTACCAGTTATGGGAACAGCAGAGGAATGAGGACGAGGAGTAGGACGATGCTGATGCCTGTTATGATGGTGGTGATGATGATGCTGATGCTAATGCTGATGCTGATGAGAGTGATGTGGCGGATGAGGATGACGATGCTGCTGCCCTGGATGGTATTTGGATGATGAGCGTGAGGAGGAGGAGGAGGAGGAGGAGGAGTTGGAGCTGGAGGGGGAAATGGGAGTAGGAAACAGAGTGGAATGATGACACTTCTGGTGATGATGCTACTTGCTACTGCTGATGATGCTGACGATCACGACCACTGTGATGATTTGATGATGCTGATGATGCTGATGATGCTGTCGACGATAAGTTTGCTACAACGTAGTGATGTCTGTGTCGTTGCTTGTGGTGGGTTGTGATGCTGAAGAAGCGAAGGAGTGAGGGAGGGGGGAAGGAGATGCAGAGGGATGTCTTCTTGAGAACAGTTTTTTTTTGGGGGGGGGGGCGATCAACAACAAGCTGATACCTTTTCCTGTGCATCCAGAGGTTCCCAGAGGTCCCCCTTCCCATGAGGCATCTGGAGGTCCCTGGATTTTCGTGGCCCCAGATACCCCCGCTATCCCATGGGGACAGACAGATAAAACAACCTCGAACCTGGAACCTCGATCCCGGAACCTCGAGCCTCGGATCTCCAACATCGAGCCTCGATCCTGGAACCTTGAAGCTCGATCCGCGGACCTCGGACACCCTCCTCCCTCAAACCTCGAACAGAGATCCTCAATCCTCGAGTCTTGATCCTGGGTCCTCCGAACTGTCCGACCGCCCAACATCGACCCAAATTCTCGGTGTGCCTCCTCCCTGGATCAGCGACCCTGGAACCTTGATCCTCGATCCTCGAACCACGGCCCTCGGTTTTCGATCCTCATCCCTCGATCCTCGACGCTCCATACTCGACCCTCGATTCTGATCATCGATCCTCGATCATCTGAACTCATCCTCAATCGTCGACCTGCGATCCTGGAGCATGGATCCTCGAACCTCCTCCCTCGAGTATGGATCATCGACCCTCGATCCTGGATCCTCGAACCTCGATCCTCGACACTCTTATCTCGACGCCCCTCCTCCCTCGAACCTCGAACAATCCTCCATCCTCGAACATATACCGGCGAACCTCGAACCCGCTTCTCCCCCAAGCCTCGTTCCTCGAACCTCGACTGTCGAACCTCAAGCTCCCTCCTCCCTCGTTCTCGATCCACGAAGCTCGAAATCCTCAACCCTCGATCCTAGAACCTCGATCCTCGGTTCTCGATCCTCGACCCTTGACTCTCACTTGTCGATCCGTGACCCTGCAGCATCGATCCTCGAACCTCGATCATAGATCCTCGAACCTCGCCCATCGACCCTCGATCCTGCATCTTCCATCATCGACCCTCCAACCTCGAGCCCCCTCCTCCCTCGAACCTCGAGCATGGATCCTTCAGTTTCGATCCTCGATCCTCCAACGCTCTCCTCCCTTGAGCCTCACGTCTCTATCCTCGAACCTCGATCTCCTCGAACATCTAACGACCTCCTGCCTCGAACCTCGAGCCCCTCCTCCCTCGATCCTCGACCCTCGAGCTCCCTCCTGCCTCCATCCACGAACCTCGAGATCCTCGAACCTCGACGCTCGAGCGTCGAGGTTCGAGGGTTTTTTTCGATCCTGGCTCGAAAATATTATCGTTTCTCGAGCCTCCATCCTGGGACTCCGAACCTCGATCCTATAAGTCATCGATCCTCGAACCCTGATGATCGACTGTCGATCCCCGGCCGCCGAGCCCCGAGCTCCGATCCCTGAATTCTCTAGCTTTGAGCCTCGATCCTCGAGCCTCGTGAGCCTCTACCCTCGAACCTCGACCGAACCTCGATCGTCCAGCCGCGATCCTCGATCGTCGAACCTCGATCCCCGAACCTCCGAACCTCGATGCTGAGATGCGTTCAGGCAGGGCGTCGCCTGCGGCGCGTCCTCGCCTCTGGCGGCAGCCGTCGGAAAGCCGGCGGCAGCCCGCGGAGCTGCAACGGCAGCGGGCCGGCGGAGTGCGGCGGAAGTAAAACGGAGGCGTCAACGTGTTTTAGACATTTACTCCCGAGTCCTCGATCCGCGATCCGTTAACCTTGATTCCGATCCTCGAAGCTCGATCTTTGATCTTCGATCGTCGAATCTCGGTTCGAATCTCGATCCCCGAACCCCGATCCTCGACCCCAAAACCTCGACCCTCGAACCCCGATCCTCGAGCATCTGTCTTCGAACCCCGACCCTCGAACATCGGATCTCGATCCTGTCGTCTGCGACGCACCTCGCCTGCGGCGGAAGGCCCGCGCATGCTTAGCGGTAGGAAGACGGCGGCGGGTCCGCTGGTGGACGCCAGCGGAGGGCCCGCGGAAGGCGGCGGAAGTGGAACGCAGACGTTCCGGAGTCGTTACCCGAGCCTCGATCCACGATTCCCGATTCTCGACCCTCGCACCTCGACCCCCGATCTCCATTTCGATCCCCGGACCTCGGTTTCCTGATCCTTGACCCCCGATCCCCGAACCTCGACCCCGGATCCTCGAAGCTCGACTCCGGACCCTTGGCCCTGGAACCCCGATCCCCGATCCTCGATCCCCGATCCCCCGACCCCCGATCTGGAATCTCGAATCGGCACCTCCAAGCCAGCCATACTTCTACGATGTGGGCGTCGACCCCCCTGGGCCGCGCGCTTAGAAATCTTGCAGTCCATGCTCGGTTGCGGGCGTTTTCTGGCCGTACCGGCGGGGCAACGATACCTTCTAATGTTGAGTCGGGCATGTCCCTCTGCAGGAAGAATGTTCAAAACATAGTCAAAAAATAGCCTGGGACGAGTTGTCGACCATTTTGCAGATGTTTTGGTTATGTTCGGTTTTTCTTCCAAGCTCCGCCGGTAGGGGGACATGCCCGACCTAACTATACTATGTTTGTGCTATATGCTCGGCTTGGACGTGCGCCCCCCAGTTGGGGGGGCGTAGTACCAGCAGGTCCTCCTGCGCCCCATCGAAGCTCGACCCTCGATCGTCGAGCCTGGACGACCTTTGGTTTTCGATCCTCAACCCTCGATCCTCGACGCTCGATCCCCGAGCCTCGATCCTCAATCCTCGATCCTCTAAACTTGTCCTCAATCGTTGACCTGCGATCCTGGAGCATCGATCCTCGAACCTCCGCCCTCGATCATGGATCATTGACCCCCCGCGTGCCGCGAGGTGGAGGAACTCCTCGCGAGGCAGCACCACGAGCTCCGCGGGCGGCTGCGCGCCCTCGTCGCCAGCGCCGCGGGCGACCAGGCCTCCGAGGCCGCTCGCTCGTCGTCGGGTTCTCTCCGTCGTCGTAGTCGTCGTTGTCGTCGTCTTCCTCGACGTCGTCTCAGATCTCCGACGATGCGTTGTTTCAGATCGCAGCGGTGTTTGCCCGATTTCGGCCCTCGGGGCCTGTTGCCTGAGGGCCATCCACAACGGAGCTAGGGCGAAAAGCTATCCCGGGGGAAGGTGTCGGGAGCTCTTGGGCCGCGAGTTTAAAGAACAGATCGTCGGATGTCTGGGGTAGGCGTCGTCGTCGTTCTCGCCGTTGTTCTCGCTGTCGTCATCAGCGTGGGCGTGGTCGTCGATGTCATCCTCGCCGTCATTGTCGGCGTGGGCCTGGTCGTCGTCGTCGTCGTCATTGTGGTGGTCTTCGCCGTGCGTGGGAGGACGACGAGAGGAGGAGTGGGGGGTGTGAGGAGAGCGACGAGGGAACAGGGTTTGGGGGTGGATCGCAGGAAGGGAGAGGGTGAGAGTGCTTTTGGGGCGGAGGCAGAGGGGCAGGAGGAGCGAAAAGAGGGGGAGAAGGAGGAGGTAGGAGCAGGATAGGGACGATGGGAAGGAGGGAGTGGATGAGCAGCAGACCAGAACCGTGCACGTCACGGGTGCGTTGGCACTGAAGGTGAAACGGGCGATTCGCCTCCGAGGGCTGCCGTTTAGACCAGGGCTGCTGAAATGGGACGACGGCGGTACAGTGCCGTTTTGAATACATGCTCCGCGTGCGGATCATGTATTCAAAATGCAGGGATCTAGTAATAAAAAACAACGATGAGTTCATGCATAAATTCATTCATGAATTAATCATGTATTGAAATCCCATATTTGTTGAAATCCTATGCATTAAAAATTGCCCTGTAGGGTGCACGAGGGGGACATGAAAGAGTGGAGAGGGGGAACAGGAAGAACGATGAGGAGGCGAGGGGCTGTTGCAATGAACCAGCCCTCCAAGTTCCCTGTGCATAAGTCTCTACAAGAACCTCTCTTCAGCGCGGGAAGCATTCACTGGACGACAACTGTCTGAGAACCCTCTTATCGTGCCAGCACACCATTCCTTGGACTTCAGCGCCGCGAATAACCGTGACTGGTGCGTCCTGGCAATCCGAATTCATAACAGAACTCCGTTCTTGGGGCTTCAGCAGAGCGAAACAGCGCAACTGTAGCGCCCTGGCCATTTCAAACCGTGGCAGAGTAGTTTTTTTCCCATGTGACTTCAACCATACGAATCCTTGAAACTGGTGGACCGTTTGAAGACGAATGCATGCGGCGCTAAGGCGAGAGCCACACTTTGAAAAGGAACCGCCCTCCATCCGCGAAACTGCTACAGCGTTCTTGGACGAATGTGCGCGGTGCTGCGGAGAGAGCCACGTGCTGAAGACGGCCCGCCCTCCGTCCGCGAAGCTGCTGACGGTTTTGAGACGAAGGCGCTCGACGCTAAGGCGATAGCCACAGTCTGAACACCATCCGCCCCCCCTCCGTGAAACTACTGCCCTGGAGGAAGGCCGAGGCGACACGCCCGGCGCGCCCTACCGGCACAGCCGGGGGTGCGACAGGGGCGGAAGCCATCTGCCAATTGGAGCAGGTCTGGAGGATGATGGGGGAGGGGAGTATAGGCAGCGGAGGGCGAAGCGGAAGATGATGAGGAGGAGACGGAGGGGGAGGAGGAGGAGGAGGAGGAGGAGGAGGAGTTGGATAATGAAGGAGGAGGAGGAGGAGGAGGAGGAGGAGGAGGAGGAGGAGGAGGAGGATATAGGAGGAGGATATAAGAGGAGGAGGAGGAGGAGGAGGGCGACGATCATGAGGACGAGGGCGTAAAGGAGGAGGAGGAGGAGGAGGGGAGGAGGAGGAGAAGGACAGTTGTGGGGTGAGGTGGAGGTGCAGCCTGGGAGGTTTGGGGGAAGCCGTGTCGTTTTGCACTCCTCTATGCCCTTGGGAGCTTCCGGTTTGGTTCACTGTTGCACGCCCTTCGACTTAAAGTACATGTCGTGCACGTGTTGGTTGGTTGTTCATGTTGTTGATCGGTAGCCGCGTTCCGATCTCTCTTTTTCTCGGTTCGCGGCCTAAGACGCGACGGCTCACGCTAGCCAGCGCTGGTGCAACGTAAAAGGAGAAGAGGGACGGCGAAAAGGAGGATGAGGAGGAGGAGGATCAGGGGATACATTTTGTGGAGGTGGAGTTCTTGAGT